ATTCATTTTGAATCGTAGTCACGCGCACGTGTTCAGTGTTTGATATGTTATGAGCGATTGTCAGTGTAATGAGATGTTTCAAAGAATTGTTGTTTATATATGGAAATATAGTTACCTGAGTCGCGCTTATTCCATACCATTTAATTAATATATTTTTAGATAAACGTGTGGTACATAATTCCATTTATTTATATATCTTATAGAAATGTTTATGGCGCTACGATGTTTAAAAAAGTTAACCAAGGTTAACTGATCAGAATAAGAGAACCAAAACTTAAGTATGCTTGACAAATTTTTTTATGGATGATTTGTAATAACTCATGTGAGACGGTACGTTTAATGCAAATATTTTCTGATCACCCGCAAATTTTACTACTTAATGACGAATGATTCTGTTAAATTGGATATTCGGTTGATAAAACATTGTGAACGCTATCATATATATTTATTCTATTGTGGGCAGGATATCATATTGATACTGTTATCTTCGTTGGCGTGAGATATCCCATTGGATTATTATATGGGATAAAACCAAGCTTGGAATAGGGTATTTAATAGGCTATTTGACCATATAAATAATCTCTATTAAGATGATTTTAAAAAGTAAAATAACTTGCAAATAATAAAAAAAAATGGCAGTAAAACAATTTTTGACTATCAAGTCGGTCACGTGACGCAAAACGCTCATAGACCAGTCAAGTCGACGATGCCGTAGCATGGCAGAAAATATTTTTTATTCGCATTCCTTGTAGTTTAATTTCGTCGGAGACAGTTTCTCCAAATCTGTACTTTAAGACTGACACGGCTTGACTATAGTTTATGTGTTTACCATAGACGACATGGTACGTCACAGAGAGTGACGTCATCTTGCCTAGACAAGCGTTTTGGCGGGATCTTGAATTGCTTAGCTATTAGCAAAGTTTTATTTGTTTAATATAATAGGCGGCAAACGGACAGAAGGCGGCGGTATGACTTAACTCTCCTCCTCTTAAGTGATACCGCCGCCCATGGGCACTCACAAAGTGTTTCGAAAATAATTCAGCTGGTTCCACATAGTTCGCGCTAATCGTTGACTCAGATTTTTTTATAGAACAGGGGGCAAACGGGCAGGAGGCTAACCTGATGTTATGTACCGCCGCCCATGGACACTCGCAACAGAGGGCTCGCGAGTGCGTTGCCGCCTTTTTAAGAATTTTCTCACACTCAGAGTTTGTAATACAAATCTTACCTTTAGTCTCAAGCTAACTTAGACCATTATAGATAAAGGTTGGAAACTCCACTGAATTATTATAAGTACTGTCCAAAGTTCTCCGTTACCTAATAGATCCGCATTGGTTCGCAGACGTTCCGGGATATGCCGATAAGAGAGGTTACACTATCAATGAACGCTATTTACCGATTGACGCACGCAGTCTGTTTACTGTAATTAATTAACATTGATTTATGCGCACGATTCATATATGGTTCATCTAGAGTCTAGACAATTTTGTCTCTATACAAGGATTTTCCTTCATATTTTTAAAGTTAACTCTATGACGTGAACTGTACAAATAAGGGGATACAACAGATTTGGTAAAAAAATACCAAACGAAAAATATTAATAGAATATTGGAAAAACTTACTAAAAATAGATTTATATGTCTGTATAAATAACCACTCCGAACTGAAACTCAATCAAAGATTTATTTGGACTTTGTACCCGATAAATGTGATAACTATTTGCAACTTTGTGTCAATAGTTCAGCGAGAAATTATAGTAAACAAGTCTTAAGATTTAACGATTGAATTAAATATATCGTAGTACATTTAGTTAGTAACACCTATACCTAGGGAAGGGTCCCTACCCTCTCCTTACTATTTGTCATTTTATTAACAAAGCAATAAACTAAACTATCTTTATAGATACCGACAAACATCTTGAACATTAAACAAGGGAGTGGGGGAAAGTTTGCGCAGCGTGGGACACTAACGTCAACTGATTTACCAATCACACGATCCAGATACCAGACACGTCACTCTCCCGCCGCCGCGCTCCACCGCCAAGTGATACCTAAAAACCGCTTCTGCGCAGGCAAGGACAAGACCGTTTGCCGGCATCTGTAACATCAATCGTATCACCTCGGCGTCATAATTTATTGAAATCTCAAATGACTAAAATGCCACGTGATTTTATTTTTGAATTTTCGACACTTTTAATATTATAATGACAATTAAATTCCTAACTTATCTTCCTTTTTCCCTCCCTCGAAGTCTCGGTTATAATCTATAGTTTTAGATTTGTATAAATATGAACAAGACTTAATAATTAGTTCGCCAAAGAAGTTTCACTTCTGACATGTGTACCTACTTAGGGAGCGTTCAAGTATTACGTAACGCATTTTTTGGAGATTATTGACCCCCCCCCCATGTAACTCGCCGTAACGTTTTTCAATACCCAAGTACAGTATTGTACCCAAGTATAGTAAAACGTTTCGTGACCACCTTGTGTCTCTTTAGTTACTTGAACGCTCCCTTAGTACGCACGCACATTTTTTAGTGTAAGATTGTGTTTTTGGGATTAAAACACATTTGCCGTGTTTTGTGTGACAATAAATTATAGATTTGTTTGTTATATGTTAAATAACTTCGATAATTTACTGTTTAAAGCTGTCTACACACCGCAGCCGCCGCGCCGGCCCGCCGGCACGAACCCGGCGGGTTAATGCCGGCGGGTGAACCCGGCGGCTTTAGAAGTTGCGAGCCTGACAATTTTCCCGGCGGCACGACATACAGTCGCGGCATGCAGTGTTCACAATTAGTGATTGCCAAGTGCTTGCTAGTGACTTGTTAGATTTTTTATTTTTCTCTCCACTTCATTAACGGATTCCATAATGTTTAGTCGATAAAAACACTGACGCGTCACTATTCTTTCGCTGTGTAGACAGCTTTACGTTTCTTTGTAATATTTTGTATCTTAAGTAATCGGTGCAAACACAAATAAATGATATATATTATGTTTCTGTGTAAAAAATTTGTAGCAGAAAATAATTTTCAAAACAAAAGTCAAATCTTTACTAAATTTATTACCAAAAATATTCATTTTATTTCCAAATACATACGTATTATAAAACTCGTGGCCTCAAATTCAGTCTCAAATTATAAATATAAAAATTAAACACACAAAAAAAACACAATGACGACTCTGATGCATTTGACAATTCTCTTATAGAAGTTATTTACGAAGACTACATTTTTTCTGGTTTAAAAATATTAAAATCTAAAATTTACGGATTTTTACATCCGATAAACGGCTAAAAACAGTTACTGTCCTATACAGTAATCCTCCCTATAACGCATTTCTCAAGTGATATATGTGTAGTGTAATTATCCACCCATAAAACAAACAAATATCTACTTATTTACGTTTATTCTTATTTTTAACTTTTAATTTAATTCTATTTATTATACACCGTTACACACAATTTACTCACACTTCTAACTCTAATATTATTATTATTATTTTTCTACTTGGTATTATAATTATTTATTTTATTTTATTAGAGGCGCAAACTAGCTGCTATGGTCTCTGGCAGAATGACCAGCGCTGTGGAACTTTTTGCTCCTCAGCATAATGCTGAGCCAGGGCCAATTACAACCACAGTACACACACATTGCACACTGGAAGCGAACCGAATGGCAAAAGAAAATTTCTTAATTTTAATTTTATTCTATTTTATTTTATGTTTTCTTTAAGTATTGTTATTTTGTGTGTTTATGTGTGTGTTTTTTGTTTGTAATAAATTTTATGTCTATGTCTATGTCTAGTGAGAAATTTATAATGATTTGTCAAGTCCATAATTAGCTTTGCGCACCTTTGCACCTGTTTCAATTGTGTTGTTATAAATTAAACTAAACTGTATTCATTTCGTGTTCCTAGTTTTTTGAATTGTTAAAAAGTTGTTTTACGAGATTACTCCTACAACGTGATTTCTTATAACGCGGCCGGGTCTAACGCGTTATAGGGGATTACTGTATATTCTTAAAACAACTAATCTGGCGTTTATTGTTTTTCGTATATTTATACCAATTGAATATTTTTTAACTGATTTAAGGCCGAGTGTTAAAGCTCATTTTCTGATATTAAAGTGTCTACAATAAAACAAAAAGGGTGGAGAATTGTGTCTTATTGGGAATTTAATATAACGCGATATTTTTTTTTGTTAATTGCCGTCAGAATCGTCAATATAAAAGTAATCTTAAACTAAATTCAACAATTCATTAACAACCCAACTTAGGATATGAAACGACGTCAAAAATTCACTAATTTATATATAATTATTTAATATGGAGAAATTCATTGGTACGGTGAGTTCCCGGAATGTTTCCAGTTTCCCTTAAAAATATTGGTAGTTTTCGTAGATATATCGATTTACCTTGGCTAGTATGTAGAGAATTTAAAAAAAATCAAGGACGTGACGTGACCACTAATAATAATTAATTTATCCTAATTGCTTTAAGTTTATTTCGCATTCATAAATTTTCTTTAATTTAACTAAACAAGTATTTGAAACCTTATTAAGCGACATTTCAGAAACTAAAATGCTAACATTTGTGCTGTGGAATACTGTGAGGTATGGAAGTAATTTTTTGTAATTATAATATTATTATTATTTTTTATAATCGAAACTAAAAACGAAAAACGGAAGAAAAGAAAATTAATAACTATAAAATGTTCTACGTTGTGCGTATACGCATCTCAATGCAGTAACTAATAATTTAAATTGAGATTTAATTTAATTTATTTTTTATTTAAACTACTCAGTTCAGAGGTGCAGTCATATTAAGAAAACCTTAATTTAAAATAATATTAAAAAGTATTTTGTATTTGTCTATATTTATTTTCAAACTATTAAAGCAATCCGTGCGAAACAGACGTAGTTATGTACGCAAAAGTGCGTATACGCACGTCAATCTTAAAAAACCACGTACGTATATTAATCTATCACATACCAAATGATTCATTAAAAATTAAATTTCCGCTTACTACTCGACGGCGTAGACGAAAAGTTACAACTGAACGTTAAATCCTCGTTAAAATAATCAGAAATCGACATCGGATCCATCTGATTCTCTTTATCCGCCGAAACACACTTCTTCTGATCATAAAACTCCTCTTCCTTGAACCCACTGTCCACCCGAGCCCAGTTAACATTCGAGATCTCCTTCAAAGCCTTCTTGGAAATCGTCAATTCCGAAGGCTTTATCGCGCTCTCGTAGTAACTCGACGCGTAAAACGTGTTCTCATTGAAGCCGCTGTCAATTCTTTTAAAACTCGACTCGCCGACCACAGTCTGATTTTCATTCAAGAATTTAAGATCCACAGATGCAAAATCAATCTTTTTCTCCATACTGAGCGGGATGTCAAAGTTCTCGAAGGACATATTCAGCGGGCTTAGTGTGGAATCACGAATTTTGCTAATCTCGTGCGCGACATTCGTCCGACGTTTCCCCTTTATCGGTGTTTCGTCGAAATTGTTTAGTTTAGTGGAAGACTGAATTTCGCGGGTGTCTTGGAACTGTCTCGTATCTTCTATAGACCACATTTGTTTTATATCTGGTGTACTGGTTTCCGATCCTGTTAACAAAAAGTATAGGAAGTAAGTTTTACAGATATTAAGCTATTGCATAGATTTTATTGCGGACTTTGAACGCGGCGTCCGAATCAAGAAATTCCGTAACGAAAATATACCTAACACACGATGACGTTATATAGGTGCGGCCAATACGCGTTAGACCGGGACAAAACGCATACTGCGTCTCAGATCGGTCTGGCGTGATCGGTGACGTAGCGCAGGTGCGTTAGAGTGGGACAGAACGCATACTGCGTATTTACATCTCTCTGACGAGGTCGGTGACGTAGCGGCCGGTGCAGCCGGTATGCGTTAGAGTGAGACAGACTGGTAGAGTGGTAGATTGAATTAATATCAAAGAAAAAAAATACTGCATAAATAATTATAATTGCATAAGTAGTGCTATGCAATACCTTTACCGCGGCAGTCCCCGAGTGCCACACCTTTTTACTTTTGTGTCAAACAGGCGAGGATAAGTTTTCTTTATAAGGGTTTCTAACCGAATAAACAAAATATTATTTCTTTTGTTGCTTAAAAGAGATTGTTTAGTAGCGATGAGGCTGCTGAGGCACAATTTTTTTTAAATAAATTATCTCTTGACCGAGTTGTCTCTAGACAATATAGGCTTAAGATTTCTGGCTATCTCTCAAATTAGCTAAGACTCCTTTTATTAATGTCCAAGTCTTTAATTATTGTTGATTCCGATGTAGTTATGAGAAAATCCCTCCACCTGGACCCTCTGATCCTACTAGTAGGGCTCCGTCTGTTACCTTAGGTCGCTTGGTGCAGACATACCGTATATATTAATATATTCACTACAGAGGTAAGTGAAAAAAAAAATACAGGAACATAATGTCTTCCCCTTAATACAGACTGAACATGAACACTTTCATATGTTAAAAAAACTTTTTAGTGAATTAGTTTTAAATTACTTATATAGTAGTTATAATATTTTTTGTAAGTGCCTTCTGTGCCTGACCAATTGCGATACACAATTCCAAAAATTTAAACATAAAAAACAGTGTATAAGAGAGCACCAATAAACAAAAAGAGAATAAAAATTTTAATAACGCCATTTTACCTTGTGTCATATTATGAGATCCGTCAACGCTCATGTCCATACTGAAGTCAAGTTTTTGTACCGATCGACTTCTATTGAGATTCGTCATACTAGAACTTCGCTTTGGCATATATTTCGGGGATTCCTTGAGCGAGGCGCTCCTCCCATTATTCGGGGTACAAAAACATCTTCCCTTACTCTCAAACTTTGAATGGACACAGTCGAGACAAGTTGCCATGGCTTCGGGTGATACTAGTTTCTTCTGAAAAGTTTTAATAAAATCTTAACTAAAGCTAAATTAAACACACTAAAATAAATTTCAAGTTTGGTCATTGTACTTGGGTATTAATTTAAGGTAAAAATAACAATTTAAATAAATTTCTTTTTCATTTCTTGGAAGCTCGTCTGATGTTAAGTTATATCACCGCCCATGGATACTCACTCTGCCAGAAGGCTCGCAAGTGTGTAAACACCGCCAGTTGTGGAGCGACAGACGTCGAGGTGAACAGGAATTTCGTATTCTACCTCGACGACCGATGATGTAACTCAGTTAAAGAAATTGGAAATGTTTCACCGAAAAGGAAAATCCTAGCCACCAGATTATTGACCAAGAATGAATTATTTCCATGGCATTAAAATCAGAAGCAGATAATATACCTATCTCTTTATCTCTACATTACATTTCGTCATGATCATAGAACAATGTCGGATGTGAAAAAAATCCACTTTTTATCATATTTAGATACAACATTGAATAAATATTATGGCTACATTTAAAAAAATCGATGTGTTTTAAATTTCAAATTAATCAGTCGGTAAAGTGACGGATTCGATAGACGCTCATAGAAGCATGTGATTTTTCTAGAAAACTTTGTAAATTAATGCTATTATTTTTATTTAGTTTCAAAACAAACCCTTTTGTTTGCTTGTATGCCAATTTTCATAATAACAGAATATGAATTAAAAAAGTTATGACAATAAAACTAACATGATTATATTATTTTGAAATGGCTGCCATGTAAAGTTTACTATTTGTCAGATCCATCACTATTGTACGACTATGACGATTTATTTGTTGAAAATTCGTAAGAGATTACTAAATAGACAACAATAAAAAGATATAATTAAGACAGCATAAGCGGGCTTAAGAATTCAAAATTACGAAAAAATAGTAGCCACCATTTTTTATATTAATCGTATGACTATGCCCTAACTTTGGTGTATTTTTATATAACAGAAAAACGTTACATGGGGGGTTCAATATCTCCAAAAATTGCGTGACGTTATACTTGAACGCTCCCTAAGACACTATATAAGATCCTTCTCCCTCACTCCTTCGAGTGTTAAAAAAATCCTTCAAAAGCTGATAGAGATGATAAAAAATCATGAGCTGAAGCTTTTATTAGTTTTGTGTATAGAATTTTTTCTTAAAAATAATTTATTACATAAAAGATTACCTCTACAACACCAGCCTCAACCGGTGATATAGATAGCGATGATGAGGAATTCTCATTTCGTTTGGGGGTCGCAAATTGTATTGGACTAACACAAAGTTCAAAATCACCAATGTTCAATATCTTATTCTTGAACGGCTTCTGGGATTTCTTCTGCAATGGCGTTCCGAATGTTCGCTGCATTCCCTTTGACACGAGGTTATTGCTCTGAAAAAGTTTTTATATGAGACTAGCAGACCGGCCAAGCGTTGCTGTGGCTAAGGTTTTTGTTATATCACATAGTGGTAAACTATTCAAGGGAAACGGTAGGAGAACACCAGTCATGGGGACCACCATGCTTTATTGGTGGTTATGCCATTAAGTTGTAGCTTATGTGAAACGTTGGTACTTTCAACACAGCGCCATCTGTTAGAATTGTGACTATCAAATAATAAATATTTTGCAATAAAATAATATTGCGGGTAGAAATTGAAATGTAAGCTATCCTATCTTTTAAGTTGGATCAAACCGACCACGGTGTGCAAATTTGATTGTAATCGGTTCAGTAATTTAGGAGTCCATAGCGGAAAAACAACGTGACACGTAATTTATATATATTAATACTAGTGGACCCCACAGACGTTGTCCTGCATGATATTTAAAGCGATTAGGATATTAAGCAAAGTATGAAAGTACCGACTGCAGTGCCATCTGCCGGGCTGATTTGTGAATCTAAACCATTCCCAGATCCCCTTGAACACACACAAAAAATTTCATCAAAATCGGTCCAGTCGTTTTAGAGAAGTTTAGTGACATACACACTCACAGAAGAATTATATATATAAAGATGAAGCCCCTTTAAATATTATTAAGACCTGACTACCGAACGTCAAAAATGTATTGGATTTTGACATACAGAAGTCATAGTCTAAGGGTGAGATCTATAGTGCGCACTTAGACTTTGCTCTGACTTAACTATCGAGCTAAGACACAGTCGGTATTTATAGAGCAAACTGCGAATCTCTCCCTAGTGTTGGCTTAGCTTAATCTCAAGTCCACGAAATCGACGACTTACCAAAAACTTTGACTATAAGCCTAACAAAAATAATGGCCCAAAATTTGCTTTACCATCATATCTTTTACTGGACTTTTTATTTTTGTCGGTTTTTAATGAACGGTGTTGCCATTTTGTATCGGAGTTCCATAGACTTTGGGAAAAATAGAATTTGAATTCAAAGAAATTATAAATGATCTTGATAAATACCTATGAAATGCATGAAATAAAATAATTACACATTATTATGGTATTTATTGTTGTTTATTTATATTATTTATGTAATTGTTCAAACCCCATTTTTGAGAAATCTTAAAAATAACTGGTGTGATTTTGTATGTCACCTGGCAGCCCTGGCATATTATAGTGACAACGAAATTCAAACTATAACCTAACCGATGTCTCTCGCTTCACATCTGTTATTATTTTATATTTTCGTCCAGGTCCAAGTCACAAAGCCAGTCGTTGTTTTGAAGAAAGATCAATTTAATAAATTAAAGTGGTTTAAAATTTTCAATTGTTGATAGTTGATACAAGTACTCTGTTGCTGTTGTCAAAACATTGCGATCCGTTCTACGTAATAAAATTATTGTCATCTTTAAATAATTAATACATTTTCTAAAGGTTACTCGTGAATTTCTAGTTATTGCAATAATAAAATAAATGAATACATAAATAACAATAAATTGAAGATATATGTGTACCGTTTTAGATTTTTAAATATTTGTTATTGTTAACTTTTTTAAAGGATAATAAACAAAGTATTGCATGAAATGAAACATCAATTTGTATTTTGACATTTTCTGTCTTAGCTTGGGCTTAGCTTAATCTCACCGTTAAAATGTCTATAAATACGAAATCATAGTTTAACCTTAGTGTACACTAAGCAAAGTTTTTCGTAAGGTAAGTCTGAGCAAAGTCCAAGTGCGCACTATAGATCTCACCCTTAGTCTCGTTTTTAAATCTTACTCTAAGAGTCAAGCTTTCATTTACAGTCAAAATACTGCATTTTGACTGTAAATGAAAACTATAATTTTAACTAAGATATTAGTTTAAGCTGGAATTGTAAAGAATTAAGTCTGCATAATAGTATTTATTAGTCATAATTATTGTATGGTCTGTATGTATTCATATGAAGTCGCTCTATTTGTAAAATTTATAGTTAGACAGAAGATCAAAAAATCAGGAAAAGTCGGTAATGAAATACTTCATAATACTGTAAATGGTTTTATTTACAATATTATGAAATTGTATCAATTAAAAATCTATAGGACTTCGATGCCTGAATAGCCACAGGGCAATACATATTACAAAAGCATTAAAAAAATTGAAACTTTTTATTTTATTTTGTACTAAGTTAAAGCGAACAGTCGATAGAAAAGCAAAATGTTCCACGTAGGTATGAAGCTACTAAAAAGAAGTTCCCGGGGGCAGATAGCTTACCATTAAGGCAATGTTAGATAAAAAGGGCGAATGAGAAAAATGTAGTGCCTATGTTACATATAAAAACTACTGCACCAATTTTGAGTTGGACTGTTTTCTAAGTTGGTTTATTAAATCATTTAAAACAAAAATTATTATCTAAAAATGACTAAGTTTTCGAGAAATTTGTGGACGAAAATACGAAGTTGATGACTCAAATATAACCCAATTCCAATAATACAACTAATAACCTCCTTTTTTTAAATAGGATCAAAATATTGAACCTACTTCAAAACCCCTATACTTGAAATAAGTGGGAACTCACCAAATCAGGGCTGACCTCCACAGGAACATGTTCTTCAAAACTTGACAGTGGTCTCTTATCATCTTGGCTCTCATCATCAGTCTGTTCCGAGTCATAATGATGATCACTATAATCAAACTGTGTAAACTCAGTATGTACGCGTATCGATCCATTTGCCGTCCTCTCACATTCGTCGAGCAATGCTTCCTCCTGAAAATTAAAACAAAAAACATCTAATATATAAAATTCTCGTGTCACAATGTTCGTTCCAATGCTCCTCCGAAACGGTTCAACCGATTCTTATGAAAATTTTTATGCATATGCAGTATATCTGACAATCGGCTACTATCTTTCAAACTCCTAAGTGATAAGGGGTGTCCAACCCAAAAAAAATAATTTTATTTTTTAGAAATATTTTATGCTTTTATTTTTTTATGATACAGCATACAAAAATACCTACAACCCCTACTTTTCACCCCTCTACGATCAACCCCTTTTTTATGACAGTAGATAGTTATTTTTATTGAACTAAAAAAATGTTTCCTAGAAATAATATACATGGCAAAACAATGTTTGCCGGGTCAGCTAGTAATTCTCTAAAGACACTAAGGGCCTAGTATTGGTTGTATAAAGAAAAAACATTTCAAATGTGAATAAAATATCAAGTGTATAGTGATATGAGTAACAAATACAACACAACAACAGTGCCTCAAGTCTTACCCTTAATAAAAAAAGTAGTGTCACTTTCTTCTACTAAACAATCTTCTTAGTAAATAGTCTAGAAGTTAATTACTTATTAGCCTTAAATTAAGCTAGGTTGGTCCACCATTATCTCATTCAAGTATATTCATAGAAAAATTAGCTAGTTAAATTAGAAAAAGCAGATAGATAAACTAACACCCCTAAAAACTAAATTAGTCTAACACACTAGTATCTAAAGTATTTTTGTTTCTTTCTGTTAAGTTGGTATTTTTTTTAAATTATACATTCAATATTCATATTTTCAATTAGCCTTTAACACAATTTTCTACTTTTAATTAAAATAATACTGTTTTTATACATGTGAAATTAAAAGCTTTTTAATTACCTGTGAAAATGTGCAGAAAGATTGCAAGATCTTTTCAATTTCCGGGGGTAATATTGGCGGCAAAGTTAACATGGTTTGTGTTGAACCTGAAATCACCATAATAATATTTACCATGAGCCTATATACTAATATTGCTAGGCTTGTGTTTGTTTGAACGGGTTAATCTCAGAAACGCCTGGATCTAATTGAAAAATAATTTTTGTGGCAGCAGTGTTGGCCTAACCGCTTCCGAGTGTGACTCTCATCACTGAGGTTGTAGGTTCGATCCCAAACTTTTCACCAATATACTTTCTATGTGCACATCTTAGACTCTTACTTTACTATTAATTTGTAAACAGATAAACAAATTTATAAAAGTTTTTTACTACTAAATAATCACAATCGCTTCACAAATATAAATATGACAACATATGAAATAAACAGTAACTTACGAGTTTCACTATGTGGCTTGTTAGGGCTACATTCACGTGAACTTGATGAAGTTTTGGAAATAAGTGATTGCAGTTTTTTAGCTGGCTCCATTGGACTTGGCACAATTAGTTCTTGGGAAAAAAATCTAAAATGATTTAGAAAATATTTTTTATAACTTTATTTTTGATTATTAAATATAACTTTTTACTTATGGAGTTAATAAATTAAACTCAATTTCTTGTTAAAGTTGTGTTGTTAGTATATATTAAGAGAAAATAGGAAAGATAAGTTTTTTAGGCTTGTTCTATTTTTTATCAATTAATAAAATTATTTACTCATGTTTTTGCTTAGCTAAATTTAATGGAAAACAAAGCTTTGTGTGCTTGTAAAATGAAATAATTATTCAAGGCTCATTAATTATTGAAACCCAGCCACACCCACAGCATTAAACTTCTGTGTTGAGTTGATACAGTTTAATAATTTAGCAAAATTGAGTAAAAAAATTCCTCTAGAAATATTTTATAACTATTCAAGATATTCTTGATGAACCAATGTATTTTTTTTAAATAAAATTCATGTTTGATATTACATGAACGTACCTACACCCAAAGTTTACAAGCTTGGTCAAGAATACTTCTCTAATAACAAGCAATTAAACTTTAGTTACTTTTATATTTAATAATGATTTAAATATAATTGGTGGCATATGAAGTTCTGTTAATTTATACAGTGTAAACTCTATGTAACGACACTGAAGAGACTGTGCATTTTATGGCCTTATAGAGTTGTTGTTAAATAGAGAGAAGAAAAATCTGAATTACATAAAGAAGTTTTTTTTCAGACTAGTTCTGTTAATTTTGACCACACTCTATTAATCCAATCATGAGTCACATTTGTATTAACACTTTGTGCTTCCCCACTTATTTTAACATAGTTGATATTATGATGACGTTGCTTAAATTTTCCGAGCCATCCTTCTGATGCTTTGAAAGAAGTTGAACCAAGTTCTTCAGCAAAATTCTCTTACTTTTACGAGCGGCCCCGGCATATTATTCTGGAGCTGTTGGTGAAACCATGATAGTATACCTTGATCCAAATCTTCGTATTTAGATTTCTTTAATTTTTTGGAAGATTTCCCCTCGCCCTCAGCTTGGAGGAATTGTTCTGTTTTATTCATATTGTGGACACGAGTGACTAAATCCAAAGTGTTTGCCAACTATCACTTATCTTCTCTCCCGTTTCTATTGCGCGTATCAGTAAAACTTTTTCATCAATACACAGTGATTTTCTTTTACTAGCCATGTTTACAGTTTGAAAGTTGGTGAACAACTAAAAATATGACACATATAGATAATAATCCATGACTCCTACATATTAGACATGGTCAGCAACAGTCTACATGTGCAAGCAATCCCAATTTGTAAACATAAGAACGAATTTCTTAGAAAATTCGTATGCAGAATGCCGACAGTCGAGTTCATTGCGGACTAGGATAATAAAACGACAAAAGAACACACGTACACAGCTGCAGTTTTTACTAGTTTTAGCAACTTAAAAAGTACTTTATCACTCAATTGTTGTCTATATTGAGGGTGGGCGTAATGCTATGTAGAGTGTATTGTATGGAAGACAAGCAAAACCAACCAATGCCCTAATGAATTCGACGATTTAGGGAGTTTGTTGTTAAATCGAGGAAAGTTACATTGAGTTTACACTATATTTGTAAAATATAATATTATAGATTAGGTTATAATTCATTACAAAATAGAAACAATACAGATTTCATGTAATCGAATATTTTGCAAAGTTGATTGGGTTGGGAATTCACAACTACCTTTTTAATAGTAAAACATAATTGTAAATAAAAGTTTTAATAAATCAATTGGTGTTAAGATAGTCAAGCCCATACTTCTCTGTAGCTTCTTCAGCAAGCTTCTCTAGAGCTGGATCTGGTGATGCCTCATATTGACTATTACATACTATTATTTCCGCCGGTCTCAGAGTACAAGCTTCTTCTATATCCCATCTAAACGTACCTTTCGATTTACTTTTATATATTTTGCACATACCGGGGCTGTAAATACATATACAAAGGCTTGTAAATTAGTTTTTTTACTATTTGAGCCTTTTAAAACATCAATCTCTATAACTTACCTGCTTAACGGTTGATGTAGCCTTTCCACAAGCACTTTGTCGAAGGGATTTCGAATTTTGTTCTGTTTCTGGGGTGTTAATTTATTACTTAAGGTATTTGACTCCTCATTTTTATTTTCACTCATTTCAAATCGACCACTCTACGGATAGGCGTCGAAGTATGTAAAATGTATATTGTTTCTCAGTATTATTTAAATTTTCTGTATGTACCAAAAACTCAAAAGTGTGAAGTTTGCAAATAGCCAAACAAAATTAGCCAATGACAATAACGCACTTAGCCACAGATTCTCTAGCCGCAGTAACCCGTGAGAATTTTAATATTACCAAGTATACCAACGACCAACATGACCAAGCTAAGTCAAAAACCCCTAAATTTTTTGCAATCGAGTCGTTTCATAGTGTTTTAGGATATTATATAAAATGTAATAAAATACAGATGAATCACTCTAACACATGTATACGAACGACACACCTAATTTGATAATTTCATGGTATTTAAAACGGTTTATAGAAAAAAAAAACGAATGTGATAAATAAATTTATCAACAAGCAAAAAAAAGACGACTTGAAAAGACTATTGAAGTATTGAATGTCTTGTAAAAAGACTTGTAAACTATCCGGGCAAAATTATAGCTTTATAAGTTTATACGGTTTCTATCCTTTGACCTAACTAAATAGGGTGAATTACCAGGTCATAAAATTAAAAAAAAAAAAAAAAAAGGGTGAAGTTTGACATTTTAAATTGTGAAGTGACATTTCGATACGTTAAAACTTAAAAGCAAATTTTTCTCATTAGAAATTTGTTATTGCATTTTAAATTGATTGTTAAAATATTAAATCCTTAAAAAGTTACTTATGATATCTTAAAACTGTAGTTTATCTATAATTATTGATAATAAGGACATCATGTTTATTATGTTTTTATAAATAAGCAGTGTTTAATTATTTGGCGTGATTGGGCAAGAGTCAAGAGATAATAATAATCGTATGATTTATTGAATTGAATTGATACATTGAAATTAAAAAAAAAACATTTATTTAATTTTAAAAGTATGGAGTTTAATAATACTAGTTGCGAACCAATGGACATAGATTTAAGTTCTAACTCAATCAGTGCTATGGAGATTTCATATAATGAAAATATTATAATCAAGAATGAAAATATAATCAAGACTGAAGATACATGTGATAATACTAACATGACATTTAGCCCTAATATCCAGCGCCCTGAAACTAACTTCAAAAAGTTAGTAGTCAATTTAGATGTAACACATGCTAAAAGGAAAAACAAAAATAATGTTTTTTATGCTCTAGGAATATTCTTTCTATTATTATCGTTAACTTGTTATCATCTAAATATTAATTACCAATGCTGTGAAAGAATCAACACTGAAAAAATAAGACATAATCTATTAAATAGATTGTATGGACAGACTACTGCAGCAACACAAATTATGAAAACATTAGAAAGTGATATGAAAAATAAAATATTAATTATGTATGGAGGAACTGGTGTTGGAAAGACATTAGCAGTTTCACTAATTTTAGAAGACATATTAAAATATGCAAATGTATATCACTACACAATGCTTAATTTAATTGACTTAAATGCATCTGATCTTCTATTTGGATTTACTTGGTGTCAGTCATCCATTGTTATTGTTGATGACCTGAGACATAACGATTTATTTTCAATAAAAGACTTTATTAAAACTTTAATTACAAAGAGTGAAAAACTTAGCAGAAATCTTACTGTTATTTTAAATTATAATTGTGATATAATGGACTCACATTTTTCATCTAAATGTAATAGTAATTTTGCAAGTGAGTTGAAAAATAATTTTAGCGATATTTATATTGAAAAAAGTTTTATAGAGTTTAACCAATTAGACAATAATGTTTTGAGAAAATGTGTTGAACATGAGATGGGCAACAAAAAAGTTACTGAAGAGCAGATGACACATATATTGAGAAACTTTGATGTGGTTCGAGATGGTTGTAAAGGTGTGCATCAAAAGATAAAATATTTGAGTATAATTTGAAAAGGTATGAATGTTTAAAAATTAAAGTAATTAATCAGTAGAATGTAGTTTTACTTGTAGTGGTAGTACATACAATAATCATTACGATTGTCCTTGTTTAAATAACAGGAAAATTAATTTATCAATCAACACACTACAATTATATTTAACCTTGTAGCTCTGCATTATTATTCATTTTAGTTGTAACTTAGCAAAGAAGAAAAACTATAGATGTAGTAGATCAAAAGAACTTTATTTAGAGAATGTTACATTATAATCGGCAATGCAGAGGTTTAAGAAATTATTTTGAATAGAAATACAAATATTCAATACACCTACACTTTCACATTTTAAATTATGCTACAACAACTTAGCCACCTTGATTATGATTAGTGAAATCTTAAATCATTTTGACGTGCATTTAAGAATGAAACACTTTGGTTATATCCTAGATATTAAATAAAATAATTGAACATACCTAGGCATTAAGCAATTTAGCTTAATCAAAATATGCACTTACTCTTAGTTTCAATTAAGTACAAATCATATTATACTCAAAAAAAGTTTAAATTATGCTTAGTTCTGATGTTATTAATACAATTTGATAGTTTGATACTTAAAGTGTGATGTCTAACACGGAACACAGTTTTTAACAAGTGAAAAGCAATGTGTTTATCATTAATAGTGATTATGCATAACCAACAACAGTAAAAATAGGTAATATCAATGAAAAACATGATTTTGCATTTGAGGAATACTGCAGTCTATAAATAGATACATGAAGAATTGAATATTACTTTTATCTCTTCTTACTGTCTAGTTAACAGAATGTTCAAATTGTAGAGGATAACTGAGAGGTTTTATGTATCTATTATATTCTTCTTACGGTAAGACTACTGAAAATAATTGTGTAAGTAACATGACTTCTTTGTGCAATTACTATTTTAATCAATAAAAATATATGACCGGTTTATGATGGTTTAAAATGTCTCAATGTTCCTCTCATTATGTAACAATATTTTTTAATATTATTAACTAATTTATTGCACATGAAATTTCTTTTTGATATTATAATTTTACATCTAAGAATATAGTATCATAAAACACTCTTTAACAATAGTAAACCGATTTGAAATAAATTGTATATGTAATGATTAGTTTATTTTGAAAGCAATCAACATTTTTAGATTAAACAGAATTAAATATGTAGGTATAAGTAACAAGTAATAATATAGTTTTTTTTTTGAAATAGGTATTTCAATTCTTATAGTACCTAAGGTTTACTAAAACTACTACATAATTGTGATGATGAATAAAAAATAGCTTTGATCCAACTTAATGAGAATCCAAAGCAATTTTTACTGTTTTGGTAGGCAAAAATTAGTATGTACTTGTTAATAAAATAGCATCTAGGAGAGCACAAATATAACAAAAAATATATTACTAAATCTATGGTAACAACTCATAAAAATACTTTGATTTATAAAATAACATGTAAAGAGAAAATATCAACATTTCCAAGTAGGCAATGTGCAAATCAAGTTTATGATACCTACAAGATGACAATTTTGGGATGTGGATATCTTATGAGCAAGTAGCAACTGCCTTTAAAGTACATACCACCTTCCCCTTAATATACAGTCTGTAGGTATATTAAGTCATCTATATTTATATTAATTTTAAAATTAATTCAAAACATTGATTAAATACTAAATATGTGTTATAATAGTAAAGACTAGAATATATTTTAATACTTACAGTTATTGGCACTAAATTGAATGTTAATGGCACAACTATAAAGAATACAATTATCACCATACATTTATCTAGGTTGCAAGTACCACTATAGTTACAATTCCAATTTTTGTCAAAGTCATTGATTAAAGAAGGTATACTAACTATACTAAATTATTATACAAAACAGTAAAAATGTGTTTAAATATAATTATACCTAATTTAGTTTTCTAGGAATAAGTGTTTTTGACTTATAGTTTAAAGCACATTCCATAAGTAAAACTGTGCAATATTTCAATCACAAAATTACATTAATATCACGTTCGAAGCTCCAATTCACTAACTGTTAGTCTTCTAAACAGTTCAGTACCTTGCACAGTTTTTACCTTAGAACATTTATAACACCTATAAGCTAGGCTGACTATTAATTACTTCATAACGAAATTGTAAATCATTAAAATCATGTAAGTACAAGTACAATGAAAATTGAATAGAAAGTGTCTAGTAAACATTATCTATTCATAAGCAAAGCAGGTACATATTTAAATCTAAAATTGACAAATTGATATAATCACTTAAAAAGACAATAACCAATGAACTCTAGGTAAACTAGGTTTTAAAGGAATTGAATTAATTTTTTTAAGTTTAATATCTACCGCAGTACATCAGTGCTGGATGGGTAGTGCCAATAACTGCATTTATGAATACTTATATATTACTAACTAGGTATTCAATAACAAATAGAACACCACTTTTAAGCACGACGAAACATTCATAGTTAAAATTGTAGAGAGACTTATTTTAGAGAAATGTGCTAATAATTCTAAATTTTCAAAATATCAGCATTTGTATAGATATAGGTAGGTACTTATATATTGTTTACATGTATCAGATCTTATGTTTCTGTTGAGATTTTATACAGATTCTTACAAATATTTGTTTATTCGTTGACATCTTCGATTGTGGCTGAGATCACAACTTCTTTACACTTGCTACAACCTCTAGCAATAAGCATTGGAAATTTGATCAGTGTCACAATATAGCCACAATATTATAACATTTGGATTGGACTATTATAGAGTAGGAAATAGCATTGAACTGCTTTTAATGTTAATTGCCTATAGTAATACATTATGAACTTAATAGATAATTCCTTGAGATTTATAAAGAATTCTAATAAAATTCGTGATGTCATAGCAGAATTACAAATTACTTTAAATCGAGCTATATATATCACTCCCCCATCGGATAGTATTTACTGGAAAGGTAATTTTTATTTATGAAATGTTACAATGGTAGTTATAACGTCGCCATTGCAAAGTGGTACCTTTTTCGGAACACTATCCTTTGATTGCATGGAGCGACTCTCAGTAGGGCGTAGTTAGGTGCGATGGAAATGAACTGCAGTCCATTTGTTGTAGCGTTTATGCCAAATTCGAGTTTCTTGATGTTGATGGGTTGCACGTCTACCTTCCGAATCTACACTTTGTGTTATACAGACATATGCGATAATGGCCACATCTTCACCTAGAAGTTGTACTCTTGGATTGAGAATAGTGGTGTTAGTTTTAATATTGTTAGGAGTGTTATCAATAAAGAATTTATAATACTCAACACCCTCTATTAAGTTTCCAAGTGAATCTGGGTCAAACGAAGTCACGTGTGGGTCACACAGTTTTGAATATGTCTCGTAATCACCATTATTGATTGCGTCTAAAAGTATTTCAGTTGCTTTGATGACTTCTGCACGACGCATTGAAGCATTACTGTCACCACGAGCCTTCCCGAATGAATCTGCCTTGGAAAGGCTATCTTCATCATGGCCATCTTTTGATATCACCGTGCACGCCCTGTCAACACCTTTTTTGTCTTTGTCTAAGTCTTCATCTTCTAAAGTAGTACTACTATCCGTAGATTCCTTGACTTGGGATCCATCTCCTTTTTTGTTCACCATGGATTTTCCTGAGAAGTTACGTGTAGCAAGCATTGTTGTTAAAATTGCACCTTTTAATTTACGTCGCGCATTAAACTTCTTCAAGCAATCAACAGTTTCTTGCCTATGCATAACAGAAGCCACACGTTCACGGTGGCAGATCCATGGGTGTTTCAGTGCCTCTGAAGCAGTTATTCTCTTACTAGGGTTAACAGTTAACATTTGGTTTATGAGGCTTTTTGCCTCTGGTGTGACCGTGTCCCATTCCGGAGAGGGGTAATCATAAGCACCAGCTTTAATTTGACCATATAGTCGGTGTTGATCTTCATCCCAAAATGGTGGGTATCCAACAAGCAGTATATATAATATTACGCCACACGCCCAAATATCTACGGGCTTTCCATACGGTTCTTTTTTCAAAACTTCGGGAGACAAATATCCCGGTGTACCCGCAAACCCGAACCATGCTTGTTGGTCACCTTGTACTTCAATGGCTAATCCAAAATCAGCGAGTTTTACAGCGGCTCCCTTTGCCTTACTGGCCAGTAAGAGATTTTCAGGTTTTAAGTCTCTATGGACTACGCCGTTGTGGTGACAATGATGAACTGATTCTAAAATTTGTTGAATGCAATGCGATGCATCGGCTTCTGAATAGAATTCCCGGGCTACAATATCTTCGAACAGCTCGCCGCCAGTCACTAAGTCAAACACCAAGTAATGAAAGTGTTCCTCTTGAATTGAATCATGAAGTCTTACAATATTAGGATGTTGTAGTTTTCGGCAAATTCTAGCCTCTCTTTCTAACTTTTGAAAGTCTCTGGCTGATAACTTTTTAGTGTTGATAATTTTGGCAGCAAATTCGTATCCTGTTGACTTCTGTACAGCCCGGCGCACAATTGAAAAAGCACCTTTTCCTAGTTCTTCTTTGAGTTCATAATTATCAGAAAAACGGGTGCTGACATTTTCGCGATTAGGATTTGCCATTTTTAGGGATGCTTTTGATGTTCGTGAATGGTAATCTTGAGCACAGTCTTCACTTAATAACTGCTCAGATAACTGTAACAATAAAAAGTAGAATTAATATCTATAATTATGCCAATAAGTGCGTATATATAACATAAATGAAAGCTGTTGCCCGTGTCTTAATTTTCAAATATAATAAATAAAATAAATCTATGAAAGTACTAATACCTATTTAACAAACACTTTGCGATTTTATAGAAAAATAGAATATTTGAAACCCCTTTTTTTTAAGTTTTACCAATATATATCAAAATACATTTATACGACAAAGGTAATTATTATATTTAATATAGGTAAGAACAAAAATATATTAAACATAGATTTGAACAAATTTCCTGCACAAAAAATTAATCACAAATATCTAAAAATAATTGTATGAAATAAGAAAATCTTCACATTAATTGACCATGTTATAGGTACCTATTAAATTATGAATAATTCTAAATAATGGAAAAGGAAATTGGATAAGATGTTCACATTAGATTTACATTCCCGAAGCTTTAATAGAAGAAAATATAGTCATCTTTGTAACAAGCACTCACTAATTTGGTCACTCAAGTCAACAACTGTATCATCCGAATATAAAACGCGATGATGCCTAGTTATCAAGATCACAAACATAGACTTCTAATATTAACACTACGGCACTGGGATGACATTTCGTTAGCGCAAAATAATCGATACACCATTGTCTCAACACATTCACCGAAATTCCGAAGACATTTTCTACCGAAACTGAATATTGAATGAGAAAATTTTATTCACGTCATGTAACAAATCCCAAGTTATAATTAATAAACTGGATTAAAAAGCGAATACAAATAAAAAATATGTATTATAAGGTATTCGGTGCGCAACTTTCGACGATATTCTTAGCAATACGAGCTCTCGATGTATTTTTAATAATTGGAACAAATCTTACAATATCTATGTGGGATTTATTAAATAACGCAATTGGGTTTTTTATAATGTTATTTACCTATTATGTGCACATTTTACACAATATTAACGAAGTGAAGATCGAAAAACTAAGGGCCTAGCCCTCCGCCACACTCTCCTGCTTCGGACACGAGCTACGGGGTCAAACTCATAGAGATTCGAGGTTGCCAGCGCAATAGTCCTTCGACGCGCTTTTCTTAGAAATGCTAAATCAAGCGATTCCGAGTTCAGAAAAAAATTAGAACCTATAATATGTTAAACGTAACGTTTTCTGAATCGTTTTCAAATGAATATTGGCGTTGAAAAGACGTATTTTGTTATTTTGTTTCAAACATTTTTATGCATGTTCACACTGAGCCGCACGTAAAATCGATATACTAGCGCAGCGCTGTGAACCAAAGAGAATACGGCCACGACACGAACGCCATCTTGTGACGTCTTTTCGTACTATTCTATTGCTGTTGTATTATTATTAGTGTGCGTAAATTAAGCATGCGACGTTTTTATTATTATTTTACACTGCTAGTAATGTTGTTTGTTTAATGTATTCATGGCGTGATATATAAGTATCATTTTATGGTTTTTCAACGAATCAAATGGTAATAAATTACTTACTAGGTTTTTAAGCTACTTTATTTTTGATAGTTTTATTTCATTTATTTAAATAATTACTCCAAATCAAGGCAAAATTAATTAACCTACATAACAACTTCAAGTCATATTATGATTTTAACCGAACTACCCGAGTGGAATTGAGAGTATGAATTAAAGATAAATTATGTTATATAATAGTTCCATATAGATTATTAGTAGGTATAAATAATTGAGAATTCATACCTTCCATTAATTTTTATTTTTAAATTCGAAAAACAATGAAGGGTTTTGCTTTGCATACATGTTCTTTCATACGCAAGTTTCAGATTCTGCGGGATGGATGCTAGCAAGACTTACGGCGAAGTATTCGGCGAATTCTTCAATCCCTAATCTAATCTATACATAGACAATTTAAAAATGAATTATGTAATAAAATTAAATGCCAATATATTTTGTTTTATTTTTCACTATAGACCAATAGGTGCTCACGTTATTTCACCATGCTCAACTGTGGATTGTGCAAATAGAATAATGTGTACTTCCCGGGTAACGAACACCAACCTCGGGGTTGACTATATCCCGCCGTTACCAATGTAGTAGGTACGGTCCTTTAATCTTGGCTTAAAATTTGAAATATAGTAACACGATATCGCCTCTAAATGATGAAGGAATCTAGAATTGTTTCTATTTTTTTATAAGTACGATTTGACAGTGCATCGATTTTTTTGGAATTCAACTTCATATAATTTAACTTTATTTTATAATACATGTCGTGTGCTATGGATGGATACTAAATGACTTATGTTCTATAACCTCTAGAGCAGAGTTCACAGTGAGTCTCAATTGCGTTCGTTCTTGAGCCTCGCTCGCAATTCTTTCCGGTTCTATTTGCCCCATCTGCAACTGTATGGTTTGCCTGGGACGGCCACGCTTCCGCTTTACTTGCGGGTTCCAATCAAGCGTCTGGTCGGGGATATAATTGGAATGCCTTCGGTGAATCCATTTCATTTTTTTCTAAATACTTTATGATTGAAGCAACATTTTTAGTTATGTAACTGTTGTATGTAGTATAAATAAATAAATCAGTGGCGCTACAACCTCTTTAGGTCTGGGCCTCAGATTTCTGAATCTGTTTCATGATCATTTTAAAATCTAATAGGCAAGTAGGTGATCAGCCTCCGGTGCCTGAGACACGCCGTCGACTATTTTGGGTCTAAGACATGTCGGTTTCCTCACGATGTTTTCCTTCACCGTTCGAGCGAATGTTAAATGCGCACATAGAAAGAACGTCCATTGGTGCACAGCCGGGATCGAACCTACGAACTCAGGGTAAGAGTCGCATGCTGAAGCCACTAAGCCAACACTGCTCTGTATGTAGTATAGTGATCCAAAATTGATAATCGATCCGAAACAAAAAGCAGTCTTTGCAGATTTTACGCCGCTCACCAATTGGTAACTGGGAGCTTGAGTAGCTTTTCATCTTTCCCACCATGTTCCAAGAAATTCCATATTGTCACTCCGGTTTTTCCCTATTCTGTTAAAAATAACGGTGTCTGGACTTTGGCTTGACCCATGTTTGACCTGATATTATATTGTTTGATTATTATGGCAATCAAGGTTTGTAATAATTTACCAAATACATTAAAAGTTCTTCCTACTAGTTTTAAAAATAGAATTTAGCAAAAAATATTATTCTACAAATGATTATTTGCGTGAAACATTATTATATTATTAATATTAATTTGATAATGTGATATTTTATCACTACAAATAATATAAGAATTGTAATTGATAGGACCCATAATGTATATAACTTCTATATCAAATTCCTTTTAAGACACATTTGCACGTCATTATGTGTGGTGAATATGCGAAAAAAAAAAAATATTATTATTATTATAGGGTAATCCTAATCGCAGTTTAACGCTACGCAGATAATGTTAAGCAGTACTAAATACGAACTTATGGTTTACTTTATGCTGTAACTTAATACATACAGACATATTTCATAAGTTTTGTAACTGAATATAGTTCTTTTTTATTATGGTATATAAAAAATCAGTGGCGCTACAACCTTTTTAGGTCTGGACCTTAGATTTCTGTATATGTTTCATAATCATTTGTCCATCTAATAGACAAGTAGGTGATCAGCCTCCACTGCCTGACACACGCCGTCGACTTTTTGGGTCTAAGGCAAGCCGGCTTCGGGCTACCTCACGATGTGTTCCTTCACCGTTCGAGCGAACGTTAAATGCGCACATAGAAAGAAAGTCCCAATGGACATGGCACAACCGGCGATCGTACATCAGGAATGAAAGACGCACGCTGAAGCCAACACTGCTATCATGATATGTATTATACAAAATATAATATGTGTTATATCTGTCTATAAGTTGAATGCAGACACAATAGTGTGAAAATTAAATAAATATATAATATTATGTTAATGTTACTTACTCTCCATAGATGATGCGTAACAATCTATAGAATACTAGTGGACCCCACAGACGTTGTCCTGCATGATATTTAAAGCGATTAGGATATTAAGCAAAGTATGAAAGTACCGACTGCAGTGCCATCTGCCGGGCTGATTTGTGAATCTAAACCATTTCCAGATCCCCTTGAACACACACAAAAAATTTCATCAAAATCGGTCCAGTCGTTTGAGAGAAGTTCAGTCACATACACACGCACACAAGAAATATATATATTAAGATTTACCGGGCGGGCAATAACCAGTTAGCCAATAAACTGAACTATAAATACTATGAAAGGAATATACAAATGGAAGGCGACATCTTGACTCGTATTTCGTTCCTATAAACATAAAATTCACATAAAGTAGAATTTATTTATGATTTAGGGTTAAATATTTATCCGACTAGCGAATGAGGTTAATGATTTTCAGTTCGAATATCTAGGCTTTTTTAATATGTAAACGACTGTGTGAACTGTATCTTTAAACTTGCTATCTGTTAGTATAATCTGTCAAAAATCCATTATTTCATAACGGTTCGGATGAAAGGGGCTTTGTGAACGGTTATTCACGAAAATCAAAACTGGTTGGGACCTTGCGCAATTGTAGGGGACTTAACGAGGGCTCGAAAAAGCCCTACCAAATTTTGCCGCTGCACAATGCACCCTCCGTGATATCCCCACGCGAGGTCTTATTATTACTCCTGATCCTGTCCCCACATTGTTCATATTATTTTTATATAGGCACTAGGTTGACGCGTTTCGTAAATCTCTACTCAAAAATAAAGTTTTCAAGTGCACGTCGACTGCGAAATTATTGCGCGAACGGGTCCAACATTTGTCACCTTATATTTGAAGGGAAATAAGGTTTCGTTGCGGTCGTCTCAAGTTGCTTTTCTCATGAGTGAACGTAAATTAATAACTTGGGAGTAATATGTGTGGTAGTGCAGAGC